AGAAATGCAGCAGCTGGGGCGGCAGCAGCTGGAGCCACAGCATCTGGGGCGGCAGCAGGTCTCCTGGCAGCAGCCTTGGCCACAGCCCTGGTCAGAGCAGACGGAGCCACAACAAGAGTTGACCATGGTGTCAGAGGATGGAGGTTCTGGGTGGGTTTTCAGGAGAGTGTGGTTCTTGAGTTTGGATGTCTTCTTACCACATGCCCCCTTTTATACCCAGCTGAGGGACTTCGGTGATTATGAAAACACTATTTCCTTGTTTTTGTTTATGTGACTACAAATGCATTTAGTAAATTATATCATTGCATTTTTCTAGTAAAAACTTTCATTATATAGAACACAGTTATTTCCCTTTCATCAAGTTCCCCAGTGTTCCCACATGAATCACCTTTTGTGTTTTTCCCTTGTTTGCAGTGTCATAAGATTTCACTCCCTGGGTATCATGTGACACAGGTGGGCCACTATCTCTTGTCTGTTCCTCACCCTGACATAATTATGGCAGCACTTCTGATGGGGCTGGGTTTTCTGGTGGAAAATTTTGTGTTTCGATCAGATGGAATGCTGATAGGAAAGAAGGAAGTAAGCTCATCCTTTTGAGTTTGAGATATAAGGAAACTTATGACTCATTGTGTTTTCTGGGTGTCCATTGAGCTAATAAAATTACTAGGACATCCCAAGCTGTGTTATTTTTCATCACCCTGATGCACCTTGAAACAGTTAGCAGTGACTCAGCGTTTTTAAATAGCAGAGTCATCTGGTATTGATCACTTTTGATCTTCATAAATCTCTCAGGTGGGGTAGAGTAATTGGGACAAAATTTTTTTATCGGCCTTTCAAAATATCATGGTATGTCATGGTTATGCTTTATGGACATTTTCTTAAAATCTTTTTTAAACAGGCTGACCTAAAAAGTCTAGTAGTTTTTGTAGTATCACTTATATTTAAGATTTTCTTAGGTAAATTAAGAAGAATATAAATGCCATATTCATCATCATACATGCATGTACAAAGAAATTGCATCCATAAATGGTTTTGTAACCAATGCCTATATGATTATAGTCATAAGAGGTCTTCTTCAGTGCCACAGGCATTCAGGAAAAAACTAATTCGAGGAAAGAACAAATTACCCTCATGATATTCCCTCTTCCTGCAAAGTCTCTTGTGAGCTCAGCATTCTCCTAGTTATCTTTTATTGGGAAGTTCAAATGTCATTGGCCATTGCCTTTCTTGGCCAGTGCAGAGCAAAGTTCTTCCCTCATTGACCTTCTCTTGTGCTTTGTGTATGTGTGGGTTCTATAGCATTCTCTGCCAGAAATGTATGTATATAGCTAGCTCTCTCTAGAATGTCAACTCCATTAGGGCAGTATTTTACCCGCCTTTTTATCCCGCAGGCTTGAAATAGAACACATTTTTGATAAAGGAGTATTTTTTTTAGTAAGTGAAGAGTTTGTCTAGGCCATACAAAATGACACACTGATGTTGAGAACATGTTATTCACATGTATAGACAGAAAAAGGATTCAAAAGAGAAACAAATGAGAGTAGGCATACTCTGGCTCGTGATGATGAGAGCGGTATGTCTAGAAGGTCTGTTTTAATAAATAGCAAGAGATATGGTGAGGTTGCTAGAATGTGGGAAGGAGTGTATGTAGCCTTGAATTCCACAAGAAATTGTGAGGATCTATTAAAAGCCTTGAGGCAAGAAGTAATATAATATATTTATTATATGTGATTTATTTTAATTTTTTATCTGCCTTTAGAAATGCCAAAATACACTTGGATTTCTGGGGAGAGATGTTGTTTAAAAGTTTTAAGTGGGGCAGGGTGGGCGGTGTGTTCACAGCACCAGGTGATAAGATGAGTATAATAGTTATTTCAAAGAAAGAATCAGAAGAGAATTGGGCCAAATTGAAAATGGAAATATAGGAGGGTTTTTTAGAAAAGTTATAAAAGATGCCTTCACTTAACTATTTATTTATATATTTTGTAACTAGTTATGTGTACAATTTATGACACCGACTTCCTAAAAGCCCACAATTAAAAATTTTAAAGGATAAATGGTGCTCTAAATGTCCACCAACCAGATGGTCTCTGAACAGCATTCTTCTGGGTTTTTCTGGAGGCTTCGTCCTGATAACCAGAATGCGGAGCCAAGGTTTTTTTTTCTTTTTTCCTCTGGGGTAATGTCTTATGAAGCCAAATTAAATCGCAGACCAGAATATTGAAGCAAAAGTGTGGAAAATTTATTACAAGCAGATTCAGACCTCCCGCATGGGGAGGGGGCCCAATAATGGGTTTCCCATGAAGCTTTGTGGTCTAGGAGCATATATTGGCTACAGGCCTGCTGTGTATCTATCCGTGTCATCACCTGATTGATTCCCTCAAATATTCTTGCCCAGCAACAGACCTGAACTTTCCCTGTTTCTATGCGTCAGTTCATCTTATTGTTGCAGACCCTCCCTAGCTTCACACGTCTCCCGCTTTGAGGCCAGAAACACTTTATTTTTCTGCATGGTTGGTTCCTGTGGTTAGGCTTTGCTCACACTGCCGTGTCTGCCCCTGCCTGTGTTCCACCTGCCTTTGTTTCCCACTGGACCCCTGCCCTGTCTGCCTGCGTGTCAAGCTAACCCTCTCACTAACACCCTAACACTTAACTGACATTGGGGTGAAGACCATTTCATACCAACCTCTATATGGTTTATTTCTTGACACCTTAGAACTTTCAAAAATTTTTTTAGAAATAACAATCAGCTCTTAGTTACATTTATTTTTTGGAAATATAACCCAGCTGATATATAAAGCTCTGATATACACAAAATTTGAATTTAAAATGTTTTTTTATTGTACTTCAGATTATGAACCAAAAGTTATAGACCCTTATATTAGTACTAGAGGCCTGATGCACAAAATTTGTGCAAGGGGCTTGCCCCTCGCAGCCCCAGCTTCATCCAGACGGTCCTTCTGCTGTTCGGTCTAAGTCGTATATTAGCTCTTTATTATATAGGATAAAAATGATATTATTGTATGTATGTTGTGAGATGTTTTTGCAGCAAAGGAGGATCATTCTCACCTGAGTTTTGTTGACAAGAAAACTGAGTCTCAAAGAAATATCCTGCACATGTGCCCTTACGTAAGACCAAGCAAGGTGACAAAAGCCGAAAACAGGAGAGTAAAACCGTCAGGAAGATAGAAACTTCAGTAACGTGAGAGGCTAAAATCATGAAGGAGTTTCCGTTTTAAAATACTAAAACTTTAGGACATGCTTAGAGAAAGGGATGGAGAGAGCAAGAGCGAGAGAGAGAAACATAGATATGAGAGAGAAACAGCAATCAACTACCCCCTCATCAAACCTGCAACCCAAGTTTGTACCCTGATTGGGAAATGAACAGGCAACCCTTTGGTTCGTGGGACAGCAGCTCAGCCAACTGAGCCACTTCAGCTGGGCTTGCATATCTATTAATAAACAGTTTTAAAAGCACAGGCTGTGTGGCTCAGTGGTTGAGCATCGACCCCTGAATCAAGAGGTCACTGGGATTCAATTCCCGGTCAGGGTGTGGGCCTGGGTTGTGGGCTCGATCCCCATTAGGGCCATGCAGGAGGCAGCCGATCAATGATTCTCTCTCAATTGATGTTTTCTAGCTCTCTCTCTCTCTCTCTCTCTCTCTCTCTCTCTCTCATAAATAAATAAATAAATATCAATAAAAAATATTTTTAAAAGTTTTAAAATTTTTATGGAGAGGTTGCCATGGACTTTAATACACTTCCAGAAAGCTATATTTAGAAGGCACACTTAATATTCTGAGATAAAGTTTATTATTTAGAGAGAAAATGAGGAAGGGGCAGAGGGAGGGAGGAGGAAGTACTCCAGCTCAGTGAAATGCCCACATTTATTAACACAACCAGTCATGGCACATCCTGCAAGTAGAATTACAGTCCAGTGAAGTTTAGGTGTCTGCACAATGTTCAGTTCACTGGAGTTTTTAAGGGACATTTGAGACATATGCCAATACTTAGAGTTCTAGAGGTCAGTGAAATAATTACACAAACTTTCTTTGTTGTTCTGTCGAAGAGGACATGATACTAAGGTAGTATTCTCTCCAGGGCAGTGTTTCAATAATAGTAACAATAAAAGTGGTATTTACTGATAGCTTACATCATGCTCCTCACCTCTGTGCTAAGTGTATTTATTCCATGGATTATGTCTTTGAACCTTTGAAGAGCATAACGTATTATCCCCATTTCACAGAGAGAAAAACTGAGGCTTAAAGATATTAAGTAACTTTGCCTGTGTCATGCAAGGAATGCCTAGTGGAATTTTGATGCCAAGATAAGTAACTGCTCCCAAACTTACTGTCCTGCATTTCATGCAACGTTTCTTAGTGTGAAGTCATGTACACACACACACACACACACACACACACATCAAATTAACAAATCAGGAGGTTTCGATATCAGGGAAAATAGCTGTTTATTAAGAACATATGGAGACAATGTTATATGAGATCATCACATACAGTATATACTTTGGACGAGACAGTGTTGGTTCAAAAATAGATGCATGTGGGCCTCGGTTAAAACCATTTGACAAATGTGTTTTCATTTATCATTTCCTGAAATTGAACACCAACTCTGAATGCCAAATCAGAAGAAGAGTTGGAAGCTAAGCGTTCATTCCCCAGTCACTGGCTGGCTCAACACATTTTAGGTGACTCGTGAGGATGTCCATAGTGTGACAGATTACAGGCAAAGAATCAGCAGCAGTCAGGGATAGCACAGCACATGGGGCGGGGGCAGGTGGAGATGACACAGGTGGGGCGATAGCAATTGGTGGGGCAGGAGACCTGGCCACAGACTGGGCGGAGGCAGCAGCAGGGGCAGCAGCAGGGCCGGCAGCAGCTGGAGCCACAGCAGCTGGAGCCGCAGCAAGAGGGGCGGCAGCAGCTGGAGATGCAACAGGAAGGGCGGCAGCAGCTGGAGCCACAGCAGCTACCACAGCAGGAGGGGCGGCAGCAGCTGGAGATGCAACAGGAAGGGCGGCAGCAGCTGGAGCCACAGCAGCTACCACAGCAGGAGGGGCGGCAGCAGCTGGAGATGCAACAGGAAGGACGACAGCAGCTGGAGCCACAGCAGCTACCACAGCAGGAGGGGCGGCAGCAGCAAGAGCCACAGCAGCTGGGGCGGCAGCAGCTGGACACACAGCAGCTAGGGCGACAGCAGGTGGTCTGGCAGCAGCCTCGGCCACAGCCCTGGTCAGAGCAGACGGAGCCACAACAGGACATGGTGTTGGAGGGTGGAGGTTCTGGGTGGGTTTCCAGGAGAGTGAGGTTCTTGAGTTTGGGGGTCTCCTTGTGGCAAGGCCTCTTATATACTGTCTGAACAGGGTGAGCTGTCCACCTGTTTCCTTGTTTTTATTTACCTAATGTTTGAGTAATTATCAGATTACACATTCATGTGTATCTGCCTAATGGTTTAAACTTATTGGAAACAACATTTTCCTTTCCAGATATGCTAAGTGCTCTCTGATTTGCTTTTCCTCTGAGTCATATCTGCGGCGTCTTCTTTGCCACACTCTCCTCCATTTAGCTTTTGCGATTACATTCCTTACTCTCCCCTCGGTGTCCCCTCAGGATGGGATCTGGGCAGACATGTTCCTGGTTGTGCATTTCTTCCAGTGACTAATGTGGAGGAAATTCCATCCGCATAGTGTGGCATCAGGCAGGCATGGGACAAGAGAAGAATGACCCCTCTGGGTCATTTGTGAGCAATGAGGAAGGGGACCTCTGTACGTGTGTGATGTTGGTGGCCTCTATGCCACCGGAATGGGTTTCCTTAGGTGTTTCAAACTTTGGATCATGTTCTGTATCCTAAACTGTGGCAGACAATTTATCTACATGGCTCTGGTTACTACAACATCCCACAGTTTATTACATTGTTACTTTGCTGGCATATATGTTTGCAGTATCTCTCTCCAGCTGGTCTCTTTGTTAAAGTTTAATTTATATATCTGGCACAGTAAGAGATAAACAAACATAGCTAATAATAAAATAGAACAGTTATAAGACTACCCTATATAACAGTGATGGTGAACCTTTTGAGCTCGGAATGTCAGCATTTTGAAAAACCCTAACTTAACTCTGGTGCCGTGTAACATATAGAAATTTTTTGATATTTGTAACCATAGTAAAACAAAGACTTATATTTTTGATATTTATTGTATATATTTAAATGCCATTTAACAAAGAAAAATCAACCAAAAAAATGAGTTCACGTGTCACCTCTGACACACGTGTCATAGGTTCGCCATCACTGCTATATAATAAAGAGGTAATATGCAAATTGACCCTCACACCCTCACAAAGATGGCTGACTACAACCAGGCTGGCAGTGGGGGTTAGTGAGGGACAAGCAAACGACTGAACGGCAGGGGCTGGAAGTTGGGGGTGCCCAGACCAGCAGGAGGGGTAGTTGGGGGAGATCAGGCTGGCAGGGGAGGCAGTTAGGGGTGACTAGGCAGGGGAGTGGATAGGGGCAATTAGGCAGGCAGGCAGGCAGGCAAGCAATTAGGAGCCAGCAGTCCTGAGGGATGTCCGACGGGAGGAGGGGACAGTTAGGGGCGACCAGGCTGGCATGGGGGACAGTAAGGGGTGACCAGGCCATCAGGGAGGGGGCAGTTGGAGCCACCTGGCTGGCAGCGGGGGGCAGATGGGAGTAACTGGGCAGGCAGGGAGGGGGCAGTTGGAGCAACCTGGCTGGCAGCGGGGAGGGCAGTTAGGGGTGACCAGGCTGGCAGGGGGGTAGTTAGGGGCAATCAGGTTGCCACGTAGAGGCAGTGAGGGGTGATCAGGATTGTAAGAGGGATGTCCCCCAAGGGGTCCCAGATTGGAGAGGGTGCAGGCTGGGCTGAGGGGACCCCCCCCCCATGCACGAATTTCATGCACCAGGCCTCTAGTACTGTAATAAAAGTTATGTGAATGTGGTCTCTCAACCAATTAATACAAATTTATTTTTCCTTCATCACAATTTATGGATAGGAGATCCATTCTTTTTTTTTTAAAAAAAAATATTTTTATGAATTTCAGAGAGGAAGGGAGGGGGGAGGGAGATAGAAACATCAATGATGAGAGAGAATCATTGATCGCCTGCCTCCTGTACATCCCCTACTGGAGATTGAGCCCACAACCTGGGCATGTGCCCTAGACAGGAAGGTGCCCTTGACCAGAATTGAACCTGGGACCCTTCATTGAGCTGGCCAGTTAGGGGTGACCTATCCATTGAGCAAACTGGCTAGGCCAGAAGATCCAGTCTTACTGTAGAAATGAGCAGCCTCAGCATATGCTTAAAGAAAAAACTTTCTTATTAAGAACTTTCTCTTAAAAGGAGCACTTTAGCGCTTCTCTTTGGCATATTTGAATTACCAGCGTCACTATTCTTACACTTTGGGGCACAGGTCACGATGACCAGCAGCAGTAAGTAAGGAACACAAGCACTGCAACACCAAGAGAGTTGATCTGAGCATTGAGACAACTACTAAGTGACTGACAGTGGGTAGCATGTACAGTAGGATTTACTGCGCAAAGCGATGATTCACAACCTGGGTGGGATGGAACAGGACAGCACAAGATTTCACCACGGCTGCTCAGAATGGCGTGCAATTTAAAACTATGAATTGTTTATTTTTTTAATTTTTCATTTACTATTTTCAGACCATGGGTGACTGTGGGTAACTAAAACTACAGAAAGCAAAACCGCAGATTCAAGGGGAGACTATTGTATACTGAAAAGTGTATAAAACATACAAGTATAATATAATAAATAATTATGAAGCAAGCATCTATCTATCCCAACACCCAGGTCAAGAAATAGGACATTGCTGTTACCGAGAGGGACCTGGATGTGTCTTCTCTTGACCACATCGCTCTCCTTCCCCCTGATTCTTACTCTCATGATTCTTAAAGTAATCTTTTCACTGATGTGCTTTACAGTTTTACCCCCTAAGTATGCATCCTAAACAATATAGTTCAGTTTTACATGTTTTTGAATTTTATATAAGTGGAATCTTCATATATGTATTGTGTGTTTTTATTCTCTCACTCAATATTATGTAAGAGTTATGATAGGCAGCCCCTTAGGTGGCCCAGTGATTTCTACCTCTTGGTGTTCATGGTCTTTCATATTTCCCTCCTTGTGAGAAAATTGTTTCTAATCAACATCAAGTGAGTAAGTTACAAAAGATGGTGACTAGCCAGATTTCTCTCCCTCACTGGCTCTGAAGGAAGTAAGCGGCTGGGTAGGAGAGAAGTATGTGGCAAAGCACTGAGAACAGTCTCTACTGACAACCAGAGGGAACTGCGGCTCTGACTCTAATGGCCCTCAAGGAACTGAATCCTGTCACCAACCACATAAGTGAACTTGGAACTGGATTCCTGCTCAGTCAAGACCTGAGATGGGACCCCAGTGCCAGCTAACACCTCGACTGCAGAGTTGGGCAAGTGGATGAAATGGAGGGGTCAGCTGAGCTACATCTGGATGCTTGACTCACAATATAAATGATTTAATGAGATTACTCCTGTAGACAACTGGGGTGCAATCCCACTGAGGCCCTCTGGAAACTGGAACAGCATGCCCCCACTAGGGAAAAAAGAAGCTACAGCATTGACCAAACACTCCCGTCCACTGGTTGAACAATGTTCCCAGAGACCTTAACTCTGACTTGTGGCCTGCCCAGAGCTTGCTTCTTCATCTGCAGGAAGTTCTCAGACAGAAAGTTCCAGGTGCTTGCTGTAGGAAACCATCTTCTGATAACAGAGTGAGGACAATGTGGGACTAAAGTTAGATATCCTGAAATCACCTGCTGTAGCCTGCTCTCTGCAGAGAAAAACAGAAGAGCAGACAGATAAGAATGCTGATTCAAGAAGGAAAAATGAGACATAATACTCTTGTATTTATTTGCTTGGGAAATTCAGATTTATTTAAGATTTGGGGACATCTTCAAATGAGAAAATGTGGTAAGGAAGAAATATATCAATTGCGATGACAGTCATTGAAGAATTTCAGAGAAAATTGAAGCTTTCTAATTCATTTGGGAGAGAGATAGTAACATATAGGGGGGCATTATATTTGGAGGCCACAATCAGTTAAAGAATCAGTTGAAACTAAATTTTGACAATTGGATGCTCATGACTCGGTTCAATTTGGACTACATCAAGATCGGTTGATGAAAACCAGGTGGACACAGGTCACGATGATCAGCAGCAGGAACCGCTAGAGCAGACTGGGCGGCAGCAGGTGGTCTGG